GCCGCCCCCTCGGCGGCCTGGCGGGGCCTGGGCGGGCCAGGTTCCAGACCCTCCCCCTCGGTGGCGGAGGAGGAGGGAGGATGAGGGAGGGAGGGAGGGAGGGAGGGAGGGAGGGATGAGGGATGAGGAGGATGAGGAGGGGGAGGAGGAGGAGGAGGAGGAGGAGGAGGAGGAGGAGGAGGAGGAGGAGGAGGCGGAGGAGGAGGAGGAAAACGAGAAAGGATACCACATGCACCGCGCTGGAGGCGGGAGAGGAGGTTGCTGCTGCCCACCCTCCCCCTCAGAAATCGTGGGGGTAGGGGCAGGGTTCGCATCTGGCCCCCTATCAAGGCGACCCCGGAACCCGAGGTATTCGGGATTCCCTAAGTACCTCGCGGCGCGCCCCGCCCGAGGCTCGCGTCGGCTCCGATGTCGCGGTCAGGGTCCGCGAGGTCAGGGGTTCCTGGGGCCCAGCGTTCGCCCCTCAGGCCGGCGATGGTGCCGGGACCGACGCCTTCCTGGGCTTGCACGCACCGGTGGCGCCTCCGGCGGTCCTCCCGGTGCCGAGCCTGGAGGCGCAGGACAGAGCGGCGGCACGGGCTGCCCACAGTGCGCCTGGCCCTGACAGGATCCCCATACAAGGCGTGGAGGCGCAGCAGCGGCGCCACCGGCATTCTCTCCAACTTGATGGCCCGCATGTTCATGACGTGAGGGGCACCGCACGGCTTCATCTTCTGAGTCTTCGTGACGGTTCCGATGGGCCCGGAGCCCGACGACCAGATCGGTTCCTGCGCGCGGGAGGCGGGCACCTTGAGGCCCCTCTCGTTGAAACCACGGGCGCGAAGCTGATCGCCAGCTGCTCGGACAGCATACTGCAGCGGCACGTGGTGACCCTGACCCACGGGGTTCAGAAGGGGTTTGCGCCTGGCCGCGACTTCGTGGACCACATCCCTGCGATGGGCGCTGAGTGCAGACGCGCCGGCCTTGTCTCTTCGGCGCTCGCTCGGCGGCCCACTTCCACATCCTCCGATTTCAAGGCGGCGTTCCCATCGCTTTCCAGGCGATGGGTTGAGCGCTGCCTGTCGCGCGGCTGCGTCAACGTCACCGGTGCTGTACATGAGCTGTGTGGCGCTGGCCGCGTGCAGCGGGCCGGCTGAGTCCGGCGCCTTCTGCTTCCTGTTCGCGCTGGTCGGCGGCGTGACGAGGGGCGCCTCCTCAGCGGCGCGCTCTGACGCATCTCCATGGGCCCGGGCGTCAGGGCCCTGGGCGATGCGGGCCTGATGTCCGCCCGCGCGGATCGGGCCTGCTGCTGCTGCTGCGGCTGGCGATGATGGCCCAGGTGGCGGAGGTCTTCGCCCAGGTTCAGACCTTGGCGAGTCTCACCCTCTCGGCCAAGAAGTGCGTCATGGTCCCCCTGTGGGCAGCCTGCGACGCGGCGTTGGAGTAGGCGCTGCACGCGAGGCCAGCCGAGGTGGAGTTCGGCTGGGACTTCTTCCATGTCGACGGCAAGGCCAGATTTCTAGGAGCCTTCATGATGCCCGCAGTGTCCCTCGAATTGGTCTGGGCGCTGTCCTGCCTGAAGTGGCGGCGCCAAAGCCATGCAATTGGCGCTTCGGGCTCGCCTGCGAGTCTCAGTGCGGGCCCACAATCGCAGGCCTAGAGCTTGACACCAATACCAAAATCGGCGGTGTGCTTCCACCGAGGGAAGATGATCCCGATCTCGGTGATGGTGACAATATTCGGGCTATTTCCAGGTGGCCGAAAGGTTACCACCAACATCAAAATCTAGGATCATCTCCCCGCTGTGGAGGCAGCCCCTTGTGTTGGTGTTTGTGCCCGTATCCAGGCCTGCAACACACTGCAAGACAGCCAGCGCCAGATGCTTGTCGTACGTGGCCCAACTCTTCCCCTCGCTCCCCGCGGCCTGCAGGCGCGAACACATGCTGCTCCACAAGGTCTTTCCCGCCTCCCGCCCTCGACCCTCCGCAGAACAGACGTTGGCCCTGGCGAATTGGCTACAGTCCCCTGCGCCTGCGGCGCTTCAGCCGTGCGCGCTGGCCACCCGATGGCGCGCGGCCACCGCTACCATCTCTGGCCTGCAGGCGTCCCTGCAGCGGGTCGCTGCGGAGGCCGAGGCTCACCTCCCGTGGGTGCTTGCGCGGGGGGGCGACCTCTCCCCGCCCTGCTGGGTCCTCCGCGGAGCCACCGCCCAGGGATGCTGGAGCTCGGCGGCCGGGGAGGCCCTCAGCCGCACATCCCGGCGCGGCGGGTCCGGGCAACCAGCACCGCGGCGGAGGGGGAGCAGAGCACGGCCGCCCTGCTGACCCAGACCCCCGACGTCCTGATTTTCGGCGGCGAGCGAGGGGGGGAAGGGAGAAGGAGAAGGCCTTCTCAGAAGGCGGCGGGACTTCTCAGAAGCCCTCGCGTCTTCTGAGAAGTTTTTTGTGTCTTCGGGGACGGCTTAGAAAACTTCTCAGAAGGCCGGGGGACTTCCGAGCCTTCTGAGAAGCCCCGCCCCTTCTCACATCCCCCCCTCGCTCGCCGCCAAGATTTGTTCATCACGTCGACCCCTGGAGGTCTCGACCCATTCCCCTGGGCCGGTTTTTTATCCTGAGTCGTTTTTTGGCAGTCCCGAGGGCCGGTAAGGGCCCCCCGGGGCCAAAAGTAGCAAAAAGCCTCCCGTCAGGATTTTTTCATTGCCCGAGGGGGCCTGGGGACGAGGAGGCCCAAGCCTGCAGACGTCCTGCATCCGCTCCCCCACCGCTTCGCTTCGCACTGGGCCAGTGGCGGCTGCGAAAGCGGTTCCCCGCGCATGGGGGCCCGGCGCACCGCTCGCCCTGGCAGGGACCTCTGGGCTGCGCCGCGTGTGGCCTGCTGGTGCGAGTGCCTCCGTCCCCAGCGATCAAACGTATTGAAAGAATCAAGACGGGAGTTTTTTCGCAAAATTCGGCCTCTAGGGGCCCTCGCCGAGCCTTGGGACCGTCAAACAACGACTCAGGATGACAAAACCGGTCCTGGGGAATGGGTCGAACCTTCCGGGGACCCCGTATGGAAAAATCACGACATCGGATCTCAGGGTCGTGGCAGTGGGCAGCCCTCAAGACGGTCCGAGACCACCTCGGGCAATGAACAAATCATGACGGGAGGTTCTTTTTTGTTGCTATTTTCGGCCTCCTGGGGGCCCTTACCAGCCCTCGAGGCCGTCAACAAAACGACTCAGGATAAAAAACCGGTCCAGGGGAATGGGTCGAGACCTCCAGGGGTCGACGTGATGAACAAATCATGACGTCGGGGGTCTGGGTTGGAGGGCGATGGAAGACGGGTGGCCGCACGCACATCATGCAGCCGCGTCCCTGGTTGTGTGGCTGCGAGTGCGCGGCGGACGACATCGGTCACTGTCTCTTCTACGCAGGCGGCTCCGGCACTGGGCCGCGCTGCCGCGCTGCGTCCTGCCTGGCCCTCTCGGTCGTCTCGGGCTGGGCAGCGCGGCCGAGCACGCCGGCGAGTGGCCCCGGGGGGTGGCTCTGCGCGGGCTCGTGCTCGCGCTGCACACCTACCACCTCCACCACAAGCGCTTCGACGAGCCCGGCCGCGCCGCCCCTTGCGACGCGGCTTCGGGGTTCCGGCTCGCGGCCCCGCGTCGACTGCGAGGTGGCCGCGCGCCCGCGGCTGCGACGGTGCGGCCGCCCTCGGCTGCGGCTGCCCTCCAGTCGCCTGCCCAGCGCGGCGAGCCGCCCGGGCCCGCCGCCGGGGCCCCTGCCGCCGCGCGCCCGTCTGCGCGCAGGGAGGGCCTCGCCGCGCCGCGCGCGAGGAGTGGCCGAGTCCCGGCCCGCCTCGGCCGGCCGGCGCGCGGGCGCGCGCGGCGGCGCGCCAGGCGGCGGCCCCGGCCGTGGCCGCGGGGCGGGATATCAAGTACCTGGCCATGTACGCAGCGCCCCACCTGCCAATAGTGTGCATTCAAAGGTGGGGCCTGCCTGGTGTACCTGCCCGGCGCGCCAGACGCGGCCCCGCAGAACTGGCGCGCTCGGCTGCGCCTCTGGCGGCCCCTCCCCCCCGCGGCCGCCCCGTCCGACCTCTGCTTCGGGCCCCAGGGGGACGGCCCTCCTGCGGAGGAAGCCCTGCTCCCGCGCGGCGCGGCGATGCGCCCGCGGGCCCCCCCGCGCGAGGAGCTGGTGGGCGCGCCTCTTGGTTGCGTGCGCTCCTCCTCCATTTCCTCCTCCTCCTAGCTCCTCCTCCTCCTCCTCCTCCTCCTCTTCCTCCTCCTCCTCCTCCTCCTCCTCCTCCTCCTCCTCCTCCTCTTCCGTTTCCTCCGTCTCCCGCCTTATATTTTCTCTCCTCCCCTTCTTCTCCCTCCCTTCCCCTCCTCTCCCGCCTCATGTTTCTTCTCCTTCCCTGTTCTCCTCCCCTCTCCATCCCAGGGGGGGGCGGGGGCGCTGGAGCACGGCCTGTTCGGGAGCAACAGGCCGCCAGGCTGAGCTGGCTGGTGGCTGGATTTCGCGCGCGCGCGAGCTCGTCGTTCTTATGTCTTCCCTCTGTCTCGCTCGTCAGCACTTGCTGGTCGCCCCAGCCGATCAGCGGCGGCTCCCGCCACGTGAGCGCTCTCCCTCCTCTCCCTTCCTTGCCGCAGGACAATGAGCGCCTGCCGTCTCCGGGCACGCCCGAGCGCGTACAGACCGCCTCTGCCGCGCTGCGACGCAAAACAGGTTTCTCTCTCCTCTCTCTTTCTGTCTTCCTCTCTCCCTCTTTGTTTTTTGGTTCCCAGTGGGGTCGACAGGGGCAGTGCGGGCCCCAGGCCACGGTCCAGCGCGCGCGTGTGCGTGGCCCCTGCTGCGCTTGGCGACCTTTCGTTTGAGCTGCGTGGTGCTTGCCGCGTTCAATGCGCCTTCTCTCCTCGTTCACCTTTTGTTCGCCTCCCCGCTCGTTGTCCCCCGTGCGCTTCCGTACCCACCGCTTCGTTTGGATACGTACTCTTCCCACGATCTTGTTTGAATGATGTTTTAGGCAGGCGCTGGCTACAAACG